GCAGCAGCGGGGCGCGCGGGCCAAGCGGGACGGCGGACCGCCGCCCCCGGGGCCCGGGCCGACCGAGGAGGGGGCGCGCGAGCCCGGCTGGTGCAAGACCCCGAGCGGCCACATCAAGAGACCGATGAACGCGTTCATGGTGTGGTCGCAGCACGAGCGGCGGAAGATCATGGACCAGTGGCCCGACATGCACAACGCCGAGATCTCCAAGCGCCTGGGCCGCCGTTGGCAGCTGCTACAGGACTCGGAGAAGATCCCGTTCGTGCGGGAGGCGGAGCGGCTGCGCCTCAAGCACATGGCGGACTACCCGGACTACAAGTACCGGCCTCGCAAGAAGAGCAAGGGGGCACCCGCCAAGGCGCGGCCCCGCCCCCCCGGAGGCGGCGGTGGCGGCGGTAGCCGGCTCAAGACCGGGCCGCAGCTGCTGGGCCGCGGGAGCCGCCGAGCGCCGGGAGGGCCTCTGGGGGGCGGCACGGCGGCGCCCGAGGATGACGAGGACGACGACGACGAGGAGCTGCTGGAGGTGCGGCTGGTGGAGACCCCCGGACGCGAGCTGTGGAGGATGGTCCCGGCGGGACGCGCGGCTCGGGGACCCGCAGAGCGCGCTCAGGGGCCGTCGGGTGAGGGGGCGGCTGCCACAGCTGCCTCCCCGACCCTGTCGGAGGACGAGGAACCGGAGGAAGAGGAGGAGGAGGCGGCCCCGGCTGAGGAGGGCGAAGAGGAGACGGGGGCGTCCGGGGAGGAGCCGCTGGGCTTTTTGTCCAGGATGCCTCCAGGCCCCGCCGGCCTGGACTGCAGTGCCCTGGACCGCGACCCGGACGTGCTGCCCCCTTCGGGCACATCACACTTCGAGTTTCCGGACTACTGCACCCCCGAGGTGACCGAGATGATCGCAGGGGACTGGCGCCCGTCTAGTATCGCCGACCTGGTTTTCACCTACTGAGCCCACCGTCAGCGGGGCGCGCACGCCCCCAAACCAGCTGTTTACATACAGGAATCAGGTATTGGGGCCCCTCGGAGGCCGAGGCTGGCACCCCATCTCCCGCGCAGCCTCCCCCCTCCTGGTCGTGCCCATCCCCCTTCAGATCCAGACATACCCCCTTCCTCCGCCGACACACCCCAAGGCAGCCCAACCCCCACCCTTCCCCTGCCATCCAAGCCCCTCCCATGCAGTCCCATCCCGGGTAGCCACCAGCAGCCAACCCCCCTCTGTACACCTCCCGTCTCTCTTACATACCTGCACCCCTCCCCCACTTTGCACACGCCCCTCCTCGTGGCCGGACGACACGCCCCCTCGCTTGAGACTCCCTCCTCCCTGGCCCCGCCTGCTCTGGTGGCTAGGGGGGCGCAGCGGGCTAGCGGCCAGGGCGCGCTCCTCCCCGGCCCTTCCCTTCGTGGGGGGAGGGGCATGCTTCTCCCCCACCCCCCTGGAGCTCGAGGCCCCACCCCTCAGCTCGAACTATCCCCCTTCTTGCGCATGCTTGATGCTGCTTGGAGGGGGTTGGTCCCAGTCGAGCTGCACGCCTCTCTTGCCAGCTCCGAAAAAGGAGGGGCCGACTATAGAGTGATCCTAAGAAATCCTTTGATCCCGGAGCCCGTGGCTTCCTCTCGACCCAGTGGGGCGTCACTGCCTTAATGGGAGGAGCACTCGGAAGGGAGAGTTAGAAACTAACCAGACCTAAAAGGTTGGTTCGAGCTTGAAACTCTCCAAGTGGCACAACCCCTTTTCTCTGATGGGGTCCCCAAGCCCACCACCACCTCGACCGCGCGACTGCCTTCAGAGTCCATTTTGGTTCCCCGAAACTTCCTTTCCCCGAGTGGGAATGTGGAGTTGGATCCTTGTCAGTAAATCCACCCAACCCAGATGGGGCTGTCCAAGAGAACTCAGAACCAAGACAAGTCTGGGGACAGGGTCCCTGCCGCTCCATCCTCCTCCTCGGGAAGCGCCCTATCAGCTCAGGGCATCCTCTCAGCCTGGGTTCCTCCCTAAGCCCACCGCCCCTTCCCGTCCAGATCCAGTCGCAGCCGGAGCTGCAGTATTAAGTGGGAGAAACTGAGGAACGTTGGTGCTAGGGTTTAGGTCTGAGGCAAGATAGTAGATGGGGTGGCAGGAAAGAGTCCCACGTCTGAACAGTGGCTTGGAAGAGACTGAGGGAGTGGAGCGAAGCTAGGCGGTTTGCGCCTCAGTCTTCCCTTGTGAGAACTCGGGATAGTGTTACTGTAGAGAGGAGGAAGTTGTGCCCAGACCAGGTTGCCCTCCAGAGCCCTGCCCCGGTGCCATGTCTCCATCACTGGTCCTCCCACTCCAGCCTCGCCCCTCCGGCCTCCCCATCCCCCTCTGCCCTCACTACCTGTATCTCACCGGCGTGTGTTGTACCCTCTGGGTGTCTTCACACACACTCATTCACACACACACAAATCTCAGGAACAAACGGTCCCAGAGTCCTCCGTGACCCTTGCCCAGGGTCTCTGCAGGTCTCTGCCCCACGCGTTCCCTTCGCTGACAAAGCCACCAGCTGCCTCCTTTAAGCTTGGTGCTCCGGCTCTGGGCCTTTCTTGCGCTTTTTCTCTCTTCTGTTTTCTTTTCCTTTTCCTTGGTTTTTTGTTTTTGTTTGTTTTGTTTTGGTTTTTTGTTTTTGTTTTTTAAGAAAACGATAACAAAAAGACAATGAAAAAAAAACGGAAAACGTCATGTGAGTGAAGAGATGTCACTGTCTGTGGTCTTGGAGAACTAGTCTCGTAGCTGAGAGGAGGGGGTCCCTCCCTCCGTCTGGGGCGCTGGCACCCACAGCAGGACTTCGCCAGTCTGATGCCAGGACTGAATAAAGTGTATTTGCCCCGACCTCGCCCTGTGGTTCTGCATGTCTGTGCTTTCCTCGCCCCTGCCCAAGCTGCTTCAAGTGCGTAGGATATGGGCGGGTGCAGGGAAAGCTGGGGGGGTGTGAGCAAGGCACCTGGTGCCTTTGTCTCCTCTATCTCAGGAATCCCTGCCTTGAAAGATGGCAAAGTGGCCCCTACAGTAAACGGGCAGGCAACGCAAATGAGAGAGAATCTGGGTGGGCACTGGTGTCATGACCCAGTGCAAGGATGGCAGCAGCCCACAGTGGCCAAATGGCCATATTTTAAAAGAGACACTGGAAACAAGTCATTGTAATAGCAAAATAAAAGCTGAGTCAAATATTTTAACATCTCTAGCCAGAAGAGACAGATGTGCAGACAAGCCTGACCCAGGAGGGTCAATTTGACCCTGCTTTATTGAAGATTAGGAAGCAAGGCAGGGCTACACTGCCTACAGCCCAGCTCCCCAGAGCACCTCTGTGACCTTGAGCAACCTATCTTCATCCCAGCTCTCCACGAGTGTCTAATGAGGAGATTAAATGGTATTTTCACAGGATGAAACGATGCTTGAGGTGAGCAGCATTTAACATGGTGTTTTCTGTAAATTGTGTCACTCCATTGTCCAGAGGAGGAAGCTGGGAGTTGGTAGATCAGCTTGCCACCCCCACCGAACAGCCATCACCAGAAGTGCACTGTACATGGGTGCTGTGTCCTCCCTATGGTGCTCCATGGTGATCAGGTGGGGGCCTGGTACACAGAGGCCTGCAGCATAGGCTTACCACTTGAACAGAGGACAACAGTCCTCTTATGAGGTCCTAGCTCTCTCTCCTTTTGTCCCACATACCCTTGCCGCTAATACTTTCTCTGCCAGTTCCAGTGAATTTCTAACCACAAAGTCCATTTTCCCCTTAAGCCAAGACAGTGTGGAACTTGAAATGAAGGCTTTTCTTCCTCTGATTGGATGTGATTTGGGAGACAAGTCATACAAAGGTGTAGGCATTGAGAAGGTACAGAGAAGGCAGGGTTTGTGCAATAGAGAAGCCCCTTCAAAGGAGGCCTTGGGATATAGGGTCAGGGGATGGCCACCAACAGGATCAACCCCTCTCAAAGCCTTCTGAAGGCTGCACCCTTCTCCCTGGCAGGCCTGCCCCAGTGTCTGTCTACCATAGGCTGTTTTATTTCATCTGGGGCAAACACTGACAGGCACTCCTCACACCAGTCTCCCAGCGTAGTCCCCTGCACCAGAGCAGCCAGGGCTTTGTGAGGCCTGCAGTAGTTTGAGTTCTTCATATTCAATCCTGCCTCTTCTTTTCACAGGTGTTCATCCTAATAAACATCTTATACCCCAAACTCAGTCTTGGTGTCTGCTTCTGGAAGAGTTTTTGCGGTGGAGGGATTAAGGGTGGACAAAGGGAATCACGTCACTGAGCTCAGTGACAGTTGATCACCTGGAATGTTCCCCCTCCTGTACCCCTTTCCAAAGGAGTCTGCTCACCCAGCACTCAGCACTAGCCTCCAGGCTGCTTACTTCCAGGCCTGCTCACCAGGTGGCAGCAGTCACCTTCCTCAGCACACAAGGCACCACAGAGCCGGCCTTCAGCCCTTCTGGTCAGTGGGTCAATGTAAGTGTAGTGAGTGTCCTTAACATGGTGTGGAAGGGTACTAGAGCTGGGATAGAGGTGGGTGTTTGTCTAGCCCCTCTGCTCTGCAGCCTCTAGTAGCCCATGTGGAAAGTGCAGGGGAAGGTAGAAAGAAGAGGCCATCTCCCTCTAGATGCTGATCTGAAAGGTAGGGAGGCTTCTGCTCATGGGGACTTGAGACATCCAGTGACTGAGGAATAGAAACCAAGTTGGTGGGGGTCAAGGTGTGTCTCCAAGGAACTGACCCCCTCTGTCCATGGAATCTGCTGGGCCATGTCCCTCACAGGGACAGTTTAAGCTGTCTTAGTTTTGCTTTGATGTTGCTTTTAAAAAAAAAGTTAATGTGTATGAGTGTTTTGCCTACGTCTGTTAAGTTGCCCACGTGTGCCTGGTGCCTGAGGAGGCCCAGAGAGCCAGTGGGATCTGGAAATGGAGTTACAATTAGAGTTAACTGCCATGTGAGTGCTGGTAACCAAATCCTAGTCTTCTAGAAGGAAGACTGAACCATGTTCCCAGTCCTCCCCTCTGTTAAAATAGGAGTCCCACTCTAGCCCAGGCTGGCCTTGTACACATAGCTGTTCCTGTCTCAGTCTCTCAAGTGGTTCACCTTACCTGGATCAAGGCTTTAAAAACACCCATATATTGGGACTGGAGAGATGGATCAGTGATTAAGAGCACTGCCTATTCTTGTAGAGGACCCAGGTTTGATTCCCAGCACCTACATGGCAGCTAACAACCATCAGAAACTCCAGTTCCAGGGGATCCAATGCCCTCTTTTGGCTTATGGGGGCACATGGTATGCATGTACATAAATTCAGGCAAAACAAAAATTAAAAAACACCCATATGCTGACCTATTGGTTGTTACTACAAAACAGATTGACAAATTGAGTGGCATAAAACAATATGAATTTGTAATTTCCCAGATCAGGGCATCTGAGCCTTTAGCTGGCTCTTTAAGATCTATGAGGCAGCCAGCTGATGACTGAGCTGAATTTCTTCCTGGTTCTCTACGTCCTTTTCTAGAATGCTATGACTATGAGTCTAATTTATGTCCTGAGGTTGGGTCTCTTGTTTGCGGGCTGGCTGTTGGCCATGTGCAGTGCCCACAGAAGTCAGAAGAGAGTGTCTGTTGGATCCCCTGGAACTGGAGTTATGGACAGTGCCCACGGAGGTCAGAAGAGAGTGTCTGTTGGATCCCCTGGAACTGGAGTTACGGACAGTTGTTAGCTGCCATGTAGGTGCTGTGATTCGAACCCTGGTCTTCTTTAAGAACACCCAGTGCTCTTAACCACTGAGCCATCTCTCCAGCCCTGTTTATTTTTGAGGCAAGGTCTTGATACGTAGCCCAGGTCAGCCTCAAGTTCAAGATCCTCTTGCTCTAAATGCAAGGATTGCAGTCATGTACCATCATCCCTTTTTAAAATTTAAAGCATGTATTACTGTCTGATATTTATTGTATGTAGTTTTTGGTTTTTATTCCCTCTGACTAGCATGTGTCGCAAGGAAGGGTGGCTTCGGCCTCCACCTTTGCTCATTCATTCAACTCCTTCACTCACCCATTCAACAAATGTCCTTTTCTGTTTTTGAGATGGTTTCATGTATTCCAGACTGGTCTCAAACTCATTGTGGAGCAGAGAATGACCTTGAACTTCTGATCCTCCTGTCTACCTCCTGAGTGCTCAATTACCACAAATGTCATCGCATCCAGTTTGGGGGATGCTGAGGCTTGAATCCAAAACTTTATGTATGCTAGTATCTCACTGGAACTTGTTGTGTAGACCAGTCTGGCCTCAATGAGCTTCACCTGCCTCTGCCTTCCAAGTACTATAATGTATATGATTTGCCTGCATGTATGTAAGTGCACCATGTGAGTGTAATGCAGGGGCTAGAAGAAGGTGTTTAGATCCTCTGGAGTTGGAGTTACAAACAGTTGTTAGCTGCCATGTGGGTGCAGGTAATCAAACCAGGGTCCTCTGCAGAAGTTGCAAGTGCTCTTAACCACTGAGCCATCTCTCCAGCCTAACAGCACTCCTTTTTTTTTTAAATGATCTATGGGCTATAGAGATGGCTCAGCGGTTAAGAACACTGGTTGCTCTTGCAGAAGGCCTGGGTTCAAATCCCAGCACCCACATGGCAGCTAACACCTGTCCATAACTCCAGTCCCGGGGGATTCAACAGCATCTTCTGACCTCTGAGGGCATTGTACCACATGGGTACACTTACCTACATGCAGGCAATACACGAATACATGTAAAAAATTTTTTAAAAATGATTTATGAGCCGGGTATGTTGGCACACACCTTTAATCCCAGCACTCGGGAAGCAGAGGCTGGTGGATCTCTGAGTTCAAGGCCAGCCTGGTCTACATAGTGAGTTCCAGGCCAGCTGGGGCTACAGGTAGACCCTGTCTCAAAAAGACTCCACCAAAAAATAAATCATTAAATAAATAAATGATTTATTTTCATTTGTACAAGTGTTTTGATTGTCAGTTTGTTTACTGGTATGTGTGTGGTGCCCAAAGAGGGCAACAGAGCCACCATGTGGTTGTTGGGAATTGAACCCAGGTCCTCTGGAAGAATAGCAAGTGCTCTTAACACCGGAGCCACCTCTCCAGCCCCCCCCCCAACACCATTTTAAGGGTACACTTTAGCCCATGCATGCATTAGGCCCTAGGTATAAAAAGTGAAAAAAAAAAAAAAGCATGCTTTGGAACAGAAATATAAGTCAGGGTGGTCATTGACCTGTGACCTGGAACTGCAGTGGAGCAGTGCTACAAATCCTATGACATCTTCCCTTCAGTTTCCCCTCTGTCTTGGCTGGCCTTCCCAATCCCCCTGTAAGGAGCAGGATGCAGCAGGGTTTCCAAGGCGGAGTGGCTCTGAACCACTTCATTCAGTAACCACTACTGCAGCTATCACGTGATGAAGAATCTCAGCGGCACAGACAAGACTGAGTACAGTGGCTCTGGGTGAAGGTTGAAGCCTGGCACCAGATGCACAAGTGTAAAAACTGACAGTTCCAGCCTAGAGTCATTCACATCCCTCCCAGCTACTCAAGGCTCTAAATCTCAGCCATCACGGAGCAGGGTCAGCCACCTGCTGTGCTCTCAAGGTGACATCCTGAAATGACAGCTGTTGACTGGAGTAGGTTTCAGGCCACTGGAAGAGGCAGAGTCAAGTGCCAAGTCAGGTACAGAGCAAATGGTCTATACACAACAGCAAAGGGGAAGGCCAAGCGGGAGTGGCCGGCTTGGAAATTGTCTAGCTGTAGGAGATGGTGTGGACAGAAGAGGCAGACCAGCAGGGGCAGGAATGGTCTTGAATTATTTGGATTTTATCCTGGGTCTTTACACTGTAGCCCAGG